AAAAAAAAAAAAAGGTCATTACGCCCATTTTACAAAGGACAGGAAACCGAGGCATAGGAAGGTCAAGTAACTTCGAATAGTGTGGGTCTCCTGCCGTTTCACTTCCTTGAACCCCAAACACTCAAAGCAGACCATTAGGGAATCATCACAAGTCTACCCCAGGAGCTGCTCTGGCACCAGGTCAGGGGCTCCACAGCCACCTGTTACTTCACAGAGTGAAGTTTCTTCCCCGTGACCATCAAGGCCAGCGTGCGTGCTGTTCCTCAGGGGCCAGTGTGTGTCCAGCAGGCGCTGGGATGTCTGTGCGAGGACTCCACCTCCGCTGCAACTTTGGCTTTTGCTTTCTATAAAATGGACAGTGGTGTTTGACTATGGGAGGACCAGGGGGACCAGAGCCCATTTACCCAGGCACCTTCCTGGAAACACCTTCGGGCTTAGTTTCCCTGGGGCTCCGGGTAGCAGAAGAGAGGAGGTTGGCTTGGTTGGCAGCAGGTATGAAGGGAAGGGCCAGGGTGCCCAGACCCTCCCCGCCCCCCCCACTCACTCTCCCTCCTCCTTGCAGCGGAGTTCACGGGCCCCCCACAGAAGCCACCGCGGCTGGGTGCTCAGGTACGTGTTGGCTTTGCCGAAGCTGGTGATGAGTTTGAATCAGGGTTCCACGAGACGCAAGGCTATGAAGACCAGAAATAATCCAGTCCTGTATCCTCACATAGCTGAGGCCCAGAGCGAAGAAGTGTCTTGTCTAAGGCCACACAGCTAACTCATGAAAAAGCAAGGGGAAACCCAGTCTCCTTGCCTCCCGTGCTCGCTCCCTGATGTGCGGGAAAGCTCATTGGCCCAGCCCTAGGAGCAGGACGTGTGGACCCCCTTCCTCTCTCAAGCTGCCCCCTTGGCTTCCCGCACCCACACGGTTCTTACTGTAGCTGGTGTTCCTCATTCTAGAACAGTGGGTGTGAGCCTTGGCTGCCCATTAGAATCATCCAAGGAGCTCTGAGAACCACCTGGCCCCCAAACCCGGGTGATGGTTTTGTTGGTCTGGTGTGAGGCCAGCCAGCAGTATTTTTTTGCTTTAAGACTCCCTAGCAGACTCTAATATGAGAACCCCTAAAAGCAGAAGGGAGGGGATGCATCCCCAGGACAGGGCACTGTTATGTCAGAGAAGAATCTTGTCAAACTGGGCTGGTGGCCACGTTGGCATCA